ACATATTTATCATCTTCCGACGCAGTACGCAATATTTAGCCACGTATCTCGAATTGAAAGCGATTGACAGACATTTCATCAATCTGCCTCCGGTTGACGCCTAGCAACCATGTACCTTCACAACGTTGCAGACCTTGAGCGCGAGTCGTCCGTCATAAATAGGCTACATGCGACATCATAAGGCGAAAGTCAATTCACAATGCAGCAATGGCCGAGAGCGGTTTCCACGCCACGCGGCTCGCCATCAGCCAATGAGATCTGTCCTACTCGCAAAGGATTACTTCTGCTCTCGTCCTGTTTCAATGCGGCGTCTGCCTTTCATCATCCTTGCTCCCATTTCCTGTACTTGCAACACACTGAACCATCCTTCTACCATTGAACCTTCTGACTTTTGCTTCACCTTGGTTACGGCAGTCTGTCTGCATCATGAATCATGATAGTCCCCTACTGGGGTTCATTGATTCGGGCGAACTACCGTACCTCAGCGGAGCACGACAAGATTGAATGCTCGCGCACAGGGACCTCTCTCGCTTAAAGTCTTGACTGGAGTCGGAGGGAAATGGTAAGCGTCGTCGAAGATGTACAGCCGTACGTCTTCCCGGTGTATGCATATCAATACGGTGCTGCGTGCAGTGAACGATGGGTCTCAGATCCCTCACTCGAGATCAGACAGTGTTCACGTTCTATCGACCTCCTTAAAGTGTCTTGGCACTGAATCAAGTTAACGCTTGCTCATACATCGGTGGGACCTTGCTCGCGCTGTCGCTCTGCTGGCCTTGCGTCTTCGTAATTTCCGTCTCTGCTACTTTACTGGTAACCATACATGCACATTCCTCCATCGCTCCGCGCTCGTCACAACGGATAAACAATCATGATGACGGCTCCAGATCCACCGCTGCTGTCACACCTGTGATTCGTTCAGGACTCGGATTCTCTCTTGGTTACTTAGGTCTTTATGGACAATGATTTTGTCAAAGACAGAAAGTGATTCAGTTATGTACCTTGAAACACCTTTCGAGCTGGGTTTTGATCCGGCAGTCTTGCTGTCAGAAAGGCTCGCCAGACAGGTTCCCAAGGTCGTGCCTGGCAGCCCCGTCGAGCGCGCGCGGACGGTTCGGGCGCTCGGGCGCTCTTTGGATAGGCGTTATTCTTCGCGAACACCCTGCGCGACTGCTCTATTTGGCCTGCCACCAGCGGTGCAGATGACAGGCGATGTGTAATGTTGTGTGCTTTGATTGCCAGCACCTGTTGTCGCGGTCCTTCGTCGTAGGTAGCATGAGGAGAATCCCTCTAGATGGAGTGAAGTCATACACTGGCAGACATCGAGCTCAAGTGTTGTCTCGAACGTTTGTATCAAAAAAGGCTCAGGGTTGTATGTATTTCTGGATAGAAACGCGACTAACAGACCTATACAATATCCGAAACGTACTTACCACCCTTCACGAGGTATGTCTAGACACGACATGAAACTACGAGGGAGCATCTCGACTATCGTGAATACAGTTCAAGATGGCCACATCAGGTTGTGAACGGTAACACCTCTCAGATTTCTCACCATCTCATAGACCTTCCCCTCGAACGCATATCGGTGGGTGAGAGCAAACGTCGGGTCTGCGTCTCTCAGGGATGGACCAAATTTCCAGCTCGTGTTCTCCGCCTTATTATATTCTCTAATCCACGCCTCGGTTGTGAGACAGACCCCCTCACTGCAGCCTACGAGCTGCAGCTGAGCCTGCGGGGCCGAAAGAATGAGACGGATCGCGGGATGAGTCGAGACCGTGATTGTCTGCTTGTATCTCCTAGGTACACCCCCGAAAATCAGCTCCGGGTACACTGTCTTGAAGTTGCTATTCAATCTCCAATCCGGAATATCAGCTGTGATGACTTCCAAGTGGGATCGGCGAATAGCAACAAGGCGATTATTGGTAACCCCTGCAGCATCCTTGCGGCACCATTCGTATGATATATTCCTCTTTGAGAGCGTCACAAGCGCCTGCAAGCGGTTCAGGCAGCCATAATATCTTCCTAGCGTTGCGAGTCTGTATCTGAAAGACCCTAGAAAGAATACGAGTCTTCGACAATCTCGGTGATTGAGCAGGAGGTTGAGAATCGGAGCATGGGCGAGGTGGTATGCGACGACTATCATCCAATTCATCCGCCCCACGTCGTATGCAGGGGTAGAACTAGCCGCGTTGTTCACTGACCTCCAGCAGTTCCCAGTCGCTTCACGGAGGTATTTGAACATCGTGATGAGACAGTCGGGTACAGAGACCCCTTCAACTTGAAGCTCGGGATGTAGTTTCTTCATGTGTCTGAATCCTGGCAACTCGACCTCGTGGCTACTCCATCTGTACCCCTCGAGGAGCTCCATGAAGTCACTTTGAACGAATTCCCCGGTCGCATCGGCCACTTGTTTGGCCAACCTCGCGATTCGCGGAATCGCATAGCTCCTCATGGCATTCATCATACGCTCCTCAAACCGCTCTTCGGGACCGCACAGAGCTTCAAAAAAACGCTCTACAGCCGCTTCATCGCTGGGAGCAGGTTGACCGTTAACGGCCAGCAGGAAGTGTGCGGAACCATTACCCCGCTCTTCCATTGTGACCGCCACTGTCTTCTCAGGCTCTCCCGTCGAAACTGCCATAGCTATGTCATCAAGGAGTTGAAGTTTCTGATCTCGATACTGGGGTGTGTCGACTGCTGGGGGATGTGATTCTGTAAGTCGTGGTATAATATGAAGGATTTGTAATTCTTCGGTGAGGCGTTCTTGTAATTGCTCTTTCCCTGGCATTTTATCAGTATATTTGCTTCGATGCGCTTCGGGAGCACCCCTACCGTTGGCTAGGCTTGTCATGGTCATCGAAAGAAAGACGTGAAAGCTAAATTGGTAACAGACTCGGACGCTGACACGCTCCTAGAACATGTGGATAGTTCTGACTAAATAGTCGGAAGTCGAAAGAACAACAAGCTCCGCTGTGAAGATGCGTCAGGTAAGTGATTCCCATACATCTGAACTCGAGTAAAGTATCCGTAGATCTTTGCTTCGTGACTCATCGAGACAAGATGTAGGGGGGTGTTCCATGGGCCGTCGGCCACTGCGGATGTTACAACGCTTAGCTCACGCCGTATCACCCGGAGACGTCCTTAAGTACGCACCAAGTACAGCTGGCGAGTCAGTCCCCATTCGCTGAGGTGTCTGATCATGCTCACCTGCCATTGAATACATCGTGACGAGCTAGTCCACGCTTATGACACTTCTTTAGTCCAACACCGGGTGTTCGCTAGCATTTAACTAAACACATGGTACAATGTATGTATATAGGGAGAATGTGGAGGACCTAATAGTCCATCGGACTTGGGTCGAGCCAATCGATGAGACTTATTTCCTTCGCCTCCTTTATCGACTGGTAGACATCCTCCTCGAACGGAAACCGATGTGTCAGAGCCCACGTTGAATCCACTTCTTGCAGAGAAGGACCTAGTGTCCACATGGCGCCTGGGTGTGTGTCATTGTACCGCGAGATCCACTCTGAGCAAGCATAGCAGACCCCGCCACTGCACCCTACAAGCCTGGTTTGTGCGGTAGAGCCCAATTTAAGAATCAGGCGGATAGTGGGGTGAGTGGAGACCGTCAGGGTAGGCTTGTACTGGCTGCATATCTTGCCAAAGGTCGAATCTGATACTGATATTGCGATACGAGTGGCCCTGTCTTCGGCGGCCTTGATAACTTCCAGAGCAGATCGACGCATGACCACAGGACGATCATTGACTATTCCCGCAACATCATCGGTGCACCATTCATATGTTATCTTCATTTCTGTGCGTTTCGCAAGGGTACGCAACCGCTCGAGGCAGGCATGATACCTCCCAAGCATTGCGAGTTTATACCTCAACCCCCCCACAAAAAGCACAATGACTGCTCGAGTGCTGCGGCGGATGAGGCGATTGAATATGGGAGCCTCGGAGAGATGGTGTGCTAAGACCAAAAGCCCGTTGACGAACATTGCATCATGTGTGGGGAATGATGGGTTGTCCGCAGACTGGTGCACCTCTGAGGTACGCTCCCGAAGACGCTCGAGAAGAATGGTGAGAGCCTCCGGCACTGATGCGTTTTCAAGCTCTAGGAAACGGTTTCTAAACGCTTGAAATCCCGGTACCTCTTGTACATGAGGACCCCAGGCGTCGTCGGCGATGTCTTGTATGAGGTCGTCCTGGAGGCTTGCTCGATAGACTCGGCTACTTGTCCCGACAGCCTCGCGATGCGAGGCATGGCATAACTCCTCATTGCCTCCAGCATGTGCGGCACAAAGTGGTCTCCAGGATACAACAGAGCTTCGATAAATCGCTCAGCGGCGGCCTCCTCGCGCGAGGAAGGCAGCCCATTAACAGCCAAAATGAAGTGGACGGAACTGGCGCCCCTTTCTTCCATTGCAACCCCTATTTTCTCGTTGCATTCTCCAGTAGCAATAGCTGAAGCAATGTCATCAAGGATAGTGAGCTTCTCATCCTTGAACTTTGTGTGATAGATTCCCTTGGGGAAGGAGGTTATAGGCGGTGGAACGAATTCGATGATCTGCAGCTCTTCAGTGAGTCGAGCCTGCTTGTGGTCTGAGCGAAAGCCCGTATGAGTGTATGGAGAGCTGCGGAGAACCAGAGATCTCGCACCGTTTGTAAGATTCATGCTGGTAACTTGTCTTGTGCTAATGAGAGAACTCACCAAAGACAATGTCAAAACAATCGTCCACGCGCCGAAAGCTCGCACATCGTTATGAACTCACTCGACGCCCGGCGGCTCACACTGGCAGTATACTTATCTTTTTTGCTTGGGGTTTCCTCTAGCTGGACCCTCGGAGCTATACAAGTGACTCAAGCTCGTCAAGATGTGAGTGGTTCAATGTTTGCATAGGATATTGATTATAACACCAGAGAGCCTTGTTTTGCGTAGGTAGTACAGTACGGGCCTCGGCTTCAGCGGCCTGACCCGGCCGGCCTGGCCTAAATATGCCTTGGTTTGACCCGGCTTGTGCTTTGAAGCCGGGCCAGTCACAGCACTATCTAGCCTCAACCATGGAGAGCCTCACAAATGGTACAATATTCAATGGCTACCCAATCTGCGAGTGCACTGAAAAGACGATGTCATGTTTGAGACGAAAAGCAGCAGCGACTTACCGAAGAACTACAGATCCTTCAAATCATGCCGCGACTTAGAATCGCGCTGCCCGCGCGGCCGAGAGGTGTCGCCGCTATGCCGGCCAACGATCGGAAGCTCAAGCTCCTTGATGACATAGCCATGGCTGTCTCAACGGGGGAGAGTGGCAAGACGGTAGCTGTCGTAGTGCAAGAAAGGGACAACGGTGCCGTACACTTCACGCTGGCCGTAAACGGGGTGCCTGGGCCACGAGATAAAGCCGCTGCTGAGCAGTTTTTTGGAGCCTTGCTTCACCCAGAGGAGCAATTTGAGGTACATATGATGAACAACAATCAGAAGCTATGCGATGCCGCGCATTGAGCGCCTGGCTAAGAAAGTCACCGACGCCACCGAGGTGTTCTTTAGGGGTGGATTTATAGACTTACTGGAGGACTGCAGCTGGGGACCTCACGAAGACCAATTGCCGGGATTCGAGTTTATGAAAACAAAGCTTCCACGTCTTGAAGGTGCCTCTGTGCCCACTTGTCTCGCAATGCTATTCAGCCACCTCCACAAATCCACCGCCAAGCTTTCTCAGCCAGGACATGAATCAACCGGCGGATCCCCCTCGCATGCGAAGTGGATTAATTCGATTATCCTCTTCGCGTATTACCTGGCTCGAGCTTCCGTCTTGTCCATCCTCGCCAGCCACCCGGAATGCAAAGGGAATATGTGTTTCCTCAGCTTGTTCAGGTATAGGCTATCTGATGAAGAGTTATGGAGGCAGCAGCACGCACAGTGCGCCCTACACAACTCACCTGTATTGGTTGGATGCTGTAGCTACTGGTAAAGCTCGTATAAACGACCCTTGTCATTTGGCAGCAGAGCTGCAGGGTTTATATACACAGTGGCCCATAGGCTGACTAAGCTATGTGGAATATCTATAATCCTACTGAGCTCCACCTATGATGTCACTGACCCACATGAGCTCCCTGCCATTGTACAATAGTGGAATATACCAGAATATTCCAGAGGGTTCTGGTACGTTCTGGTACGTTGTAGAACCTGGCAGCTAAGTCAGTGCCTAGTTCAACACTCCCCCTCGCTAAGTGCCGCGGATAATCACGCACGCAAGCGTTGGGCTGACTTAGATTACTTGTAGAACCTAAGTCCAAGTTGCGTTCTGAAGCGCAAGAACTTGACATGCCCTAAGTTCTTAGTGAACATGTCGGCAGGGTTATTCTCGCAGTTGATGTAGAATACTTCAACCTTTGACTTCCCTGATGTAGTGGTAGCAAATGTCAATATGTTTAGACCTTCGCTCGGTGACAGGATTAGACGCAAGGAATATGGATCCTTGGTTGTCACCACAAATAGGAATGGGGCCGAGTTGGTAGCCTAACTCTTCAAAGAGTTGTCTAACCCATACACATTGGCGGCTACAATCACTGAGCACCATGTACTCGGCTTCAGTGGAGGATAGCGCAACAGTTTTCTGCGCTCTCGACTGCCAACTGAATATGCCATTGGCTAATTTAAGGAAGTAACCGGTTTGAGACTTCCTGGTACTGGGGTCTGATGCCCAGTCTGAATCAGTGCACGCAGTAATACCAAGTCCACTAGCACCATCAAAAGCTAGTGTGTAATTACAAGTCCCGATTAGATAGCGGCAGATATACAGCGCTTTATCTAAATGGGCTTGAGATGGATTAGCAGCAAATTGCGCTAACTTGGTCACTGCATAGCTGATGTCCGGTTGAGTTCCAAGCATGATATAGAGTAAGGAACCGATTACGGTTTGGAACCGGCTACGAAGAGTAGGATTGACCGGGCCATTGTGAGGCTCAGGTCGATAGCCTGCAGGAAGAGGAGTTGGCGCAGATTTTGCATTCTGCATGCCACAACGCTGCAGCACTTTATTAAGGTAGGTGATCTGGTCCAGATGAATGTCTTGGCCTTGCCTTGTATTGTGCATGCGTAGGAATTCCTTGACATCACCAAGGTCCCTGCATTCCTACTTCTTCATGAACCGTGACTTAACATCTGACATGAGAGACTTGGCCTTGCCAAAGAACAAGGCATCGTCAACATAGACGACCATAATGACCATGCGGCCATCTTTCTCCTTAAATAAGAAGATGCCAGCATCAGTAGTTAGACGCTTGCAGCCTAATTTCTCTAAAGACTCAGCAAGTGTGCGCCACCAGGCAAGCCCTGCTTGCTTAAGTCCGTAGAGTGCACGGCACAGTCTACAAACCTTGTGCTCCTGGCCTTTT